TGGAGGACACAAGGATATAAAATAAGAATCAGCAAAATAAAAAGAAACGGTAACTTTAATTCAAGCAGAACACCTGGCATGGGGAAAGGATGAAAGGCATAAAACAGCATTCTGTATTGAAAGAACCAGAAACATTCCAGGATATGAAGTCAAGATGGTAAGCAAGAGGAAATATGGAAGGCCTTCTATACCCTACATTTTCTTCCATATTTCTATAGTTTACTCTACAGAAGACAATTGGAGAATTTTAAGCACATATGTTAGATTTGTATGTTAGATTACTAGGACTCTGGTGAGAACTGAGTTAAGGGTTTAAGATTGAGAGTAGGAAGATGAGTTAAGGATACTTTTAAAATTCTGAAGAAACTCTGAACTAGGGTTATATTTGGGGGGTAGGGATGATGTGAAAAAATTAAACTAGATTCAGGAGGTCACATTTGCAAACTTTGGAGATTTGGATATGGCACCGATAAAAAATATGAGATTAAGTTTCTGGCTGGTGACTAGATATATGATGCTATTCCTACCTGAGACCACTGGAAACTCAGGAGAAGCAGAATGGGTTAGGGTGGGGGCAAGAGATAAAAAGAGTTTCTTTTGAAACATACAGAGATAACAAGTTTCTGCTGCCTGTAGAATCTCCAAAGGATTAGGTTCAATATACGGTTTTGATTTGTTTTGTTTTTTTGGTTGATTCTGGTCCGGGGATCAAACCCAGGGCCTTGTGCATGCTAAGCACATGCTCTACCACTGAGCTATACCCCCAGCCCCAGTAGATGATTATATACACATGTTTCAATCTCAAGGGCAAGTCAAAGAGTGAAAATACACTCTTTCAAAAAGAGTTTGAAAGTTATTAGACCTTTAGCTCAGCACAGTGGCAAATGCCTGTAATCCTAGAGACTKGGGAGGCTGAGGCAGGACAATAGCAAATTTGAGGCCAGTCTGAGCACTTAACAAGATCCTGTCCCAAAATAAAATAAATAAACAAAAAGTACTGGGGGTGTAGCTCAGTGATAGAGTGCCCCTGGGTTCAACACCAGTACCAAAAAAGAAAGTTATCAAATACTGCAAACCATGAGAGTAGATTATATCTTTTAGGAAAGGCAAGAAACAAAGAAGAGAAGTGAAGCAAGGGTAGAACCCTGGGAACAGCGAGGGACGCAAAGAAGAAACAGAGCCCACAAAGAACAAAACAGGCACCAACTATCAGAAAGAAAAACAGTATAAAGGAAGACAATGGGATTATGAGTTAAAAGGCAAAAATGACCAACAACGTCAAAGTCAGAAGGTCCAGTAAGATACAGAAGTAAGACAGGGAAGAAAAACACACTAGGTTGATGAAAAACTGAATTGTGAAGTAGAGTCAAGTGTTGGAATAGAAAGGAATGAGGGAAACAAGGTTTATTTTCTTCTTGGTCCCCCTATCTCAATAGACTCAAATCATCTTTCTTAAGGCCTAACATTAACTATGTTATAAAATAAGAAAAAATGATAGTATTTATATTACTAACCCACTTTTAAAATATCTTTGTTGTTACTATTATGAGGAGCTACAATTTACCATGCAGTGAAGCAAATTAATGACTTGAGAATGAGGAAGCAAATACAGAGAAAAACAAAGCACAGTCCCCAAAACACACTGAAGCCAGCACTACAAGTGACACATGATCTGCCCTTTCCTTTAGTAAAGTGGTATTGGAGATTTTATTGAAAGTCCCGACAGGTCTGGTACAGCAACGTTTAAAATATTAACATACATTCCAAAAACCAGAGCTAAGTTCCAGCCACTCGTTGCACCCTTTCTAAACTACAGAACACTATGAAGGGACCTGTTTCTGCCATGCAAACAATGCCTTATAAATTACAGAAAATGTATGAATATCAAATATTTCAACAGTATAGAACACTAATGTGTAATTGTAGTTGCAGGTGGACATCATGCCTTTATTTTATTTATTTAATTTTTGTGCAGTGCTAAGGATCGGATCTAACCCAGTGCCTCACACATGCTAGGCAAGCRTTCTGCCCCTGAGCTACAGACCCAGCCTCTAGAATTTAMTGTTAAATGGACAGTTTAAGGTCCTCCTCCAGGAAGAACTTCATCATTTCTAAAGAATTACCAATATGCCCTCACTCCCACATAGATTAGAACTTCATAGTCACTGTTCAATTAAGAATGTATACTTTTTTTACAATTATAAAATTTGCATGACAAAGAGACCTGAATTCCTATGCATACTTTTTAAAATACCAGTACTATATCTAACTWTCAGTATCTGAGATAACACACCTCTCACCAGACAGCTATCATTTATTAAACGCCAATTATTTGCAAAAGGCTGAGTTAGGCACTAGGATACTCTAACACCATGTACAACCAGATTTCTGCAACTTAATATTCCAATACATCCATGAATCACTTTAGAATTCTCATTTGAGGCAAATGTTATATTTTCATATTATAAAATCTTAATAAAGCTTATAAAAACTAGCACACAAAAATGATGAGATACAGTGCTATTATATTAGTCATTCAAAGAATGTAACTTCYCTCCTAGTATAATGAAATCATTTAAAGCATAAGTGCTTCACTTAKTTATACATCTTTGTCTCTCCAAATCCACTTCATGCTGAGAAAAAAATGAGTGAATTGAAAATCAAAATGAATAATAATACTTGASTCTGGAAAAAATAAATGGCAAATATTATAAGTAATATCATGGGAATATTTTGTGACCTTGGGATAGACAGAATTTTTTTAACACAACTCAAAAACTATAAACTAAAATTGGGCTAAAATTGATGGAGTAGATTACATCAAAACTACCAATTCTGTTTCATGAAAAAAACATAAATTTAGGATTTGACAACAAATTGGAAAAAAACAAATATTTTCAACATCCTAAACTGTAAATATTTACAAATTTCTCTTTTGGAAAAAGGAAATAAAGACAATAAGTTCAATATAAACACAAACTAAGCATTAAAAATAGGAAATAAATGATAAGTAATTCTATAAAGTAAAGCACAATTTTTACCAGTATTAAAATAAATGCAAATTAAAACAGATTTCATTCAATATCAGGTTACCAAAAAATTAGAAATTAAGTATTCTACCKTATGATTCAACAATTCTGTTCCTAGGTATAGAAACCATAAAAACGCACATGAACCCATCAGGGAGAACTATCTGCCACAGCAAATTGCTAGAGGCAATTTAAGTGTTAATGACTAAAGTAATAAATAATAAAATCACAGCAAATGCAAACCCTCAATTAACTATTATGCATTAGTAGAAGGAAAATGAGCCAGATTTGTAAACTCTAATAAGGATAGATATTTAAAATAGTGCTGAACCAAAAGTACAGGAAACAGAACTAGAGCCACAGCCTAACACCATTTGAGTAAATTAAAAACATATACATATAGAAAAATCATCATATTTGGGGCTGGGGCTATGGCTCAGGAGTAGAGAGCTCGCCTAGCACATGTGAGGCCCTGGGTTTGATCCTCAGCACCACATAAAAAATAAATAAATAAAATAAAGGTATTATGTCCAACTACAACTAAAATATAAATATAAAAAAATCACCATACTCTTTTCAAGGACACATATACACATTCATGACCATTAGACATGTAAGAGAAGGCTGGGGTTGTGGCTCAGTGGTAGAGTACTTGCCTCACATGTGTAAGGCACTGGGTTCGATTCTCAGCACCACATATAAATAAAAGATTAAAATAAAGGTCCATCAACAACATGGAAGAGAGACAAGGAGGTTTATTGATAGGGAATGAATGAGAAAAACCTAATAAACTAAAATACAAGAGGTAGTGTTGAATAAAATAATAATACTGTGCCACAACCTAAGATATATGTGATTTATATGATTCTCTATATGTGAGATTAAAAATAAATTGTGGACTTATTTTAAATGCCTTGATACAATTCACTTTACACCTGGCTTCATCTTCATTCATAAGGAATGACAGATGAAAAGAGAGAGAGAGAATGGAGAGGGAGAAGACAGCGAGGGGAAGAGATTGGAGGAAGAAACAGTGGGAGGGGAAGGGCTAGAAGCCAGTAGGTCTTTTCTTAAACTAATGGAGACTACCACAAAATACTTCAGGCCATTAACATCCATAGACCAGTGTCCTAGAAGGACTGGAGTGATGACTAAGTGATGCTACATTATATATATGAAGGAAGAAAACAGACTGTGAGCAGTAAGACATACTTGAACATGTGAAAAACAACCTGACACAGGCTTCATAGAACTTTGCTATAAAAAAAACAACAAGAATGGACTCCTCTCATCAATTTGTCTTTGTTGATGCTACAGTTTAATGTTATTTTGTGTTCATCTGTGTATCTACATGTGGTTGTCTCACAAGGATAGAGAAAGGGGTCATTTCTTGGAATTTTATTAAAACCCATATTTCCACTCAGTTTCTTTTTCCCATGTGTTTTTATAAGACAAAAGGAATAAATGTCTTCAAAATAAAAAATGTACATGTAAATAGTTTTCACAAACACTGTTTTAATATGAGAYATGTGTTCTTACTGATATTTAGCTGAGGTTTTTCTGTGGCACTGGCTACATTCCTAGTTATAATCTAACAATTTGAGGATGACTGATAGAAATACTTCTATCTATAGCATATTACATAGCAAACATAAAAGATTCAAGAACCAAGAACAGACTGAATTATTTAAAACTCCTTRAATACACTAATTTCTCATTGCATGCTTAATAATAAACAGAAAATTTACCAAAAATGAGAGTTTGAATTCAGTAAATATCTTTATTGGGGCTGTGGCTCAGTGGTAAAGCACTTTCCTAGCACATGTGGGGCACTAGGTTTGACCCTCAGCACCACATAAATATAAATAAATAAATAAAATAAAGGTATGTATCCACCTACAACTAAAGATATGTTTTTAAAAATAATAAAAAATAAATATCTTTATTAGGCAGAGCCAGATAAAGACTCACCAGAACAGAATATATGTGTAGACATCGATAAACAGGAGAGAAATCCACCAAATCTTGGGCCCCAGGGACCTGCAAACATAAGATTATCATTAAAATATTTTTCAAACAGAGCTATTAAGAGTAACTGCATGCATTTTTCACTACTCAAGTGTTTAAAAAAAAATCGGCACTAGCTTCTAAGTGTGAATACAAAACAAACAAAAGCTATGCCTCAAAACACCTAGTTCTGTTATTCTAGTTAAGAGATTAATAAACTGTGAAGGTATACACCATGGCTGGGCCAAGACACAGGATGGATAGCAGAGAAGAGAAACAGAAGGCACTGTTATATCCACTGAAGACATACTTCTTGGGCCCTAGGACTCTAAAGGGAAAATACCAAAAAATTTGAGAATGTGACTCTGATGACTTGACTTTTTTATTCTAAGATACATGGTAGTTTACATTAAAAAACAAAAAAGTTTCACTGGTCAAAAACAAATCTTGCAACACAGGATGAATTAAATGGCCTGCATTCAACTTCAGAAAGGCACAAAAATTAGTAAATAATTAATTCATTATACAATTAAAATACAGAAATATTCTAGGAAAGGAGGGGAGATATTTTTTTTWAAAAAAAAGGATTATAAATAAAATCACCAAACATAGTAATACCAGCAGATTGAATGTGAATAATGTATGTTAATTAAATCTAGACCCTCAGACAATAAAAGACAAAAAATTAGATGAGAACTGGAGTCAAGTCTCAGTGCCAAAACTAATTTGCTATGTGACTTGACAATGAGAAGGTCACAGTTTACTTTGGCCTAGCTTTCCTCAATTGAAAAGAAAGAGCCATCAGTTGATACATAGGGATTCAATAAGAATAAAAGAAGACGCTGCAAATAAATGTTGAACACACCAAAAAGGAAAAGAAAAATACATGAAGAAGTAATCAAAATAAAGGCCCCGCTGATGTTTTTATTGTGGCACTGGCAACATGATTCTCAGAACATAAGCAACTGGCTCGTCTCAACTGAGTTATGCTGATGCATGATGACAATGTTGGTTTCCTTTGTTTCATAAAGTAAACCACATTTCTTTTTGAAGGACATACCTTCTGTAACCAAGATGCTTTTCTTAATGAAATCTACAAATTCCACAATTCAGTGGCACAGGACTTAGTTTCTTTTCCCTCTCAAACCATCATATCTCTATACTGCTTTGAATCAATGGAACATTCTGTTCATATACTTCACACCCATGATGGCAAAAATTAAAGCTCTCCATTTATAAAGTACCTCACTGTGCTATATGCGCTATAAATATACAAAACAAAATTTTATGTGAATAAGTTTACTTAAAAAGGGCCAACAAGTGATCATTATAGTCCCTCCCTATATGAAATGACCCCAACATTAAACCACCTTTATGGTCACCCCTCCTATTACAAACTGGATATTTGAAGGAAATTTATCTTGCAAAAAAACCAGAGCCTGTTTTATCTTGCCAAAAAAACATGGGTTTTAGCCTACCAAAATACTAGAGTCTACAGCTAAGCAAAACATAATCTCGAAAGAAAAACAATAGAAACATGTTTAAAAATCATATCCACAAAACTACATAAAAACTACACATGCATAAGAAAAAATAACAAAGARGAAATATATAACATAGGGCTGGGGTTGTAGCTCATTGGTAGAGCACTTGCCTACCACAGTGTGAGGCACTGGGTTTGAACTTCAGCACCACGTAAAAATAAACAAAATAAAGGTACTGTGCCATCTACAACTAGAAAATTTTWAAAAAACCAAATATATAGCATAAATAAGTTTGATATGCATAGGAAATAAAATATTTTTCTTTTATTTAGAAATAAGGATTACAAGGAAGTTACTTAATACATAGTCACAAAAAAGTTTAAAGAATTTCATACCTAATTTTTATTAGCAAATTCAATCATAACTTTGTTTTATATATTCTTCTTTATGCAATTTATTTTGTTTTACTTTGTCACAGAGCCATAGTTTCACTTAAAAGGAAACTGCTTGCAACCATTCCTCAGACAGAGCCTTGCAAAAGTCAGACCCTTCCTTAATAGAATGACCATACACTCCAAGAGAAAGTTTCCCTAAGATCCCTTAACAAATAAAGAGACTTATTACTAAGATACAAAGAATGGTTTATCTGTACCCCCCCCCAAAAAAAAGATGTATCTAGAGAAATGACGAAAGTTTTTTCCATCATCACCAATAAATATTTCCAATCAAACCTATTCTATGTGAGGTTTTTTGACATCTTTATATCAACTTCCAACTGTTAAATGCTCTGACCTAAGTATCAAATCTCTTAACCTCTGGAATGATCATCAGGCTAAGTTTTTCCCAAGTAAAGGACTGCCTGCTTTGAAAGCAGTACAAAGAAATCTAGGCCAAAAAATGAAGAAGAAAAGCAGGACTTCAGCTCACAATCTTCACCTCTACTCCCCTAGCAGCCTCATATTTAGAAATCATTTTTCCTCTCTGCTCCCCTCTGTGAGAAACCCTAGGAAGGAACACTGTGAGAAACCCAGAAGAGTGCTGTGAGGATGGAGGTATGTAAAGTATGCACTGACTCATGTTGCTTTGAGCTAGATGTGTTTTCTCTGCTTCCACTAATGAAAAAGAATCACTTACATCTACAGAAAGGCAAAAGGAGAAGAGCAACACATGCTGTACGTGAAGGAATGCTACACGGTTGCAAGGATAAGAAATGAATTTTCCAAAATGTAAATAAATGGGGGCAGGCAAGAAGATCAGAACAAAAGRCAGTTTTTCCTGACTCAGAGCAATAGTTCTGCTTTAAGGTCCACTTTCAGGTATTTAAAATGCTAACTCCCAGTCAAAGCTGTCTTCATACTTCTTCCCTACCTTTGCCCCTCCCTCCCCTCAAGTGGCAAAGAATGACTCAAGCAGGTTTGGGTTTCAACAGGGAGGGGTCCAAGGACACTTTCCTAAGCTAACAATGACTGTCTCTAATGGTTTCTGTCTCCTAACAAAAGCCATGACTCCTTCTTTATCTGCTTCATCTAATTTTTCCTTTCCAAAGTAAATAACACAGACCTTGTATTTTACACATGTCCAAATTTGACAAATCATTATCGACTGAGACTATAACTGATAAGAGATAACTTTGTGGTAGGACCTTGTCATTTCCTCTCATAAGGGCTTTCTTTTTGAGATACAGAAACATGATTAAAATAGTTAAACATTTCCTCTGCCTGGCAGTCAGGAACTCAAGACTTTAAGATACTGGGGTCTGTATTTTTCTAGAAGTTCAAATAGATCTATGAAGATACCAACAATAGTCACAAATAGCACATTCAAGATTATTCTGCTTTTTTAACTAGTTGTTTTCTTTAAGAAGTCACATGAAATAATTTCATCACCAAGGACAGCAGCTGCTTAATTCCCTGTATAGTTTGTAAATGGAGTAGTGCCTTTTGCCTACTCAAACCTCTGAATTTTCAGAAGGATCCAATAGTAAGATTTTATATACTACAAATAAGATCTATGCCTGGGAGCATGTTATATAATATAGAGAATTTGTATATATTTTTAAATAATATTTGTTAATATTTAATAAAGATAAATAATAAGCTATTAAAATTTGGGAGGATTGACTGCACTATCATATCTAGGAGTAGATATCATGGAAGTAACTATTATACTCTTCTATAATTTCATATTCACATATACATTAGAGATACTGTATCCACTATATGCTAATACAGATGTTAATACAATGACTCTTATGTGATAAATATTAACAGTTTCAGTCAAAGCAGTATTTTCTCATCTTTGCCTATGGAATATTTGCTAAGAAGCATTTAAAAATTGTAAACGTACCAGCTATTACGTGAAGCAAGATGACCAAAAACAATCTATAGACAAAAGAATAAACAAGGAAGAAAAAAGTCAATTTATAAATAGGATTACTAAATACACACTGAAAAAACAGCCTCACGAACCCCTGTAAATGATATTAAAGAAGATACAAAGATTCAGAGTAGATATGAGAATATTAGGTGGTCAAGAAGAAAAGAAACATGAACATTTCTGTTTCTGATTAGATTATGAAAATACTTGCAGAACATCAGAATTTGTCTTTCCTGATATCTTTTGCTTCTTTTCTAGTAAAGATCTTAGTTTAAGTAAAAGGAAGCTTCTGAAAATGTAAAGGTAAATGGCTAAGTTCCTCCCATAAAACATAGACAAATGTTTTTACACATTAAAGTAAAAAGAAAAATTTTTTTACTGTGATGTGTTTATTTAATTATAATTAGTCTAAAAACTATTTTACAAATACTTTATGCAAGCTGTCAAGAAAACAGTGCCATTTGGGAAATCAAAGAAAACTTGATCTCTTAGTTATATCCTTAGCCCACAGACTTAATCCACTTGTACTTTTATAACAAAATAACATATTCTGGATAGTTTACATACAAATGACATTCCATGGGTTTGGGTATGGTTTTTCTCCTCCATAACTCAGGAGGAAATTCAGTCAAAAAGGGAGATTTTGATTATAAAATAAATTATGCCATTCAAATTTTAACAGATACATCTATTTAATATTTTTGTTACCCTCCCCTCCCCACAGAAAAGAGTCAGTGTCAGTAGCTATTTCTACTATCTTAAAAGACTCACTAGAGAAGGAAGTCTGGGGTGGGGGGTTAGGCATCTGCAGTAATGACCTGATAATGTACCGGCTTCACTGCTGGGTAAGCATAACCTTAGAAAAGGAGAACAGTACAAGAAAGCATTGTTTGGCTCCCTCCACTCAAGAAGAGTAGAAAATGTTCTATTAGAGGTTTGCCTATGCTGCTGATAAAGATAGGACATGAAAACAGAAATGCATTAGGACACTCTAGCCCTGCTGTTCACACATCTGTCCCAGAAGATGCAGACATACACAAATTCATTCTCTCTCTCTCTCTCTCTCTCTCTCTCTCTCTCTCTCTCTCTCACGCACGCACATACCATTTCTTTTTCTCTTAAGAAACCTTTAAAGTAGATGGAGCATCCAAAAATTATTGATAGAAGCTTGCA